ATCCATCCATCCATCCATCCATCCATCCATCCACCTATTTTATTAGGGCATCTGCTCCTATTTTTGTACATTTTCTGCCATGGAGAGTAGGGATGCATATTGTGAACTTTTCAACAATACTGGTCCAAGGGGACTCATTTAGCAAAGGGAGGGAGGGAGGGAGGGAGGAAAAGAAAAGAAGGAAGGAAAAAGAAGGAAGGAAGAAAAGGGAGGGAGGGAGGGAGGGAGGAGGGAAGGATACATAGGACACATCAAAGTAAAAAAAGATGATATAGAACAGTGTTTCCCAACCTCAGCAATTTTAAGCCTGGCTGGGGAATTCTGGGAGTTGAAGTCTACACATCCTAAGGTGGGCTAGGGAATTCTGGGAGTTGAAATCCACATATCTTAAACCTTGCCAAGGTGATGGCAGATCCTGTGGCAAGGCTGTCCAACCATATCTATTTAGAATAGCAGCAGTGAGAACAATCACTCTAGCTTTCATGGATAAACATATTTCCCTTATGTACCATAGCTGAATACATACAAATACACCTCATTTGGCACGTCAACAACACTGTTCATCATTCCCAAACCGTGGAAAGAGCAAGAGCTGGTTTGGACGCTCTGAGTATCTCTGAGATTTAGCAGCATTTGCCATCACCAACGCTACAGCACAGGGGAACTGAGACTGGGTGACGACAACATTGGGTATTGTGGCCTCTTACGGTTTAACTATTTATTACAGCAAAAGGCTGCATGGGCTACGGCTACAGAGAGTCATCCTGAGTGTGAGAATCAATCTAGATCCAGGGTGGGTGTGTCTTGGGGGAGAGGGCACTTGTCAACAGTGAGTTCAGGGGGTGAAAAATGCAAATATGTCTGATCAGTTTGACCTGGCCAGCTGTGATTTCATCACAGTCACACCCAGGGGCTTCTCCAGTCCCTGGAAGCAAACAAGGTTTTTTTTCTGGCCTTACGTTTGCACAATAAAATCTTTGCGCACCGCTTTTAAACAGCAGAACCACCTGAAAAAAAAAAGCAAACAGGGATTTGTGGTTTGTAGCCACGTTGTTCTAGGATAGGGACTTTGGACGCGGCTGCCTCTGTCTGATAAGAGTGCCACGTCATTCTAGTATTCTGTTTTATATCCAATTTTTCCACCTAGAATGGCCATTCACGAAATAGGAGAGCAGTTTTGCAGAGGGGAGCTGAGTCACAGAGACAGGCTGCGTTCACACAACACCCTACACTAGGCTAAACTGAGGCAGTCCTTTGCGGCTTATCATGGCAATGCCTGGCCATGGCTTAACAAGGGCTTAGGTTTTGTGTGTTGTGTGAATCAAGCTGTAAAAAGCTCTTGTTCCATTTCAAGCCCAAGAGACAAAGTTGGACCTCTTGATGGATGATGGATCAACTCTTCCATCCTGAACCTTCCCTCGGTATTGATTTATTCATTTATTTAGCAAAGTTATATAGCCACTCATCTCACTAAACGTGACTCTGGGCAGCACACAACTCACAACAGTTAAAAACACTATAACAACCGTGAAAACAATTAAATATAAATAAAAAACCAAGATTGTGGGAGAATAACAACCACCTGAACACAACCATCTCACAGACTCCCATGGGAGCCCTGAGGTTGATGGAAGAACCAATTTTAAGGGCTTTCTGGAAGGGTAACAGGAATGGGGCCAATGTCATCTTGGGAGGTATGATGTTCTAGAGCAGTGTTTCTCAACCTTGGGACTTTAAGATGGGTGGACTTCAACTCCCAGAATTCCCCAGCCAGCCATGCTGG